AATGAAAGCAATAGCTGCAGCTGTAATATGGAGATCAAGGTGTGCTTCAAGTGGTCAGCTCGTCGTCACTTAAACAAAAAATATTTATCTGAAATGAGAGATAAGAAAGATCTAAAGAGGATCTTACTCTTAACAGCATTGAAATGATGATTTTAAGAAAACATCAGAGAAACCATCCCCAGTCCACTGTAACATACAACATCATCAACAGACACTGTCCTGAGATAAGAAGAAAACCGAGCTTCTTTTTCTCAGAATAAGTTGCTTCCGAGAACTCTGTGAGTGAGCAAGGGCAGTGAAAAACACACAGAGACACAGGGGGAGCTGTGCTGTTCTTTTTACTGGTAATAAAAACATGAAAAACATTTTTCAGATAGAAGAGGCTCCAGAACAGACAGCAGTGGAGCCCTGGGGGACTGTTATGCAAACATGGCCTCTAGATAAATAGTCCCCCTTCGATGTGAATAGGATATTGGATTTCAAGGTTGTTATTACTTCACCTTGTTATTTCTGTTCAAGAAATACCATTCATAAGCCGATTAAAAGTTTGGAGAAGGACACAGAAAACAAGTGTCCCCGCTCTGGATTTCCTCTCACACCTGAAGTTGCTGAATATGAAAGAAGACATGAAGCTATTCTTAAATCAAGATGCAAGCCAAATATATGCAATATATTTACCTGTAAGTCTGGTGCATAACAAGACTAGGGCTGGACGATACGACCTCAAACCATTATCACAATTATTTTAAGCTTTAATGAATGATTACTGTGGTGTTTATCGGTCTCTCTCTTTTTTTGAGCCATGTGCTCTTCATATTTGGCAATGTGACTGTGTTCCAGGTGAGTAAACAAATTAGTGCTGTTACCTTTGGTCGCTATCCATGTTGTATTCACCACTGTCTGGTAGTTGTGACCAGTTTAGATTGGGTCTTTAGTTAAGACCCAATCACAAGGCGAGGCGGGAGTTTACTAAAAATAACGAACTAAAAAAAAGGTCTAGCAGCATTTCTGAAAGTCTCCGTTAAAACATATAAAATACATAAAACATATTAGCGTGGCTGTAGACTGAGGCTCACTGTTTGCACTCCTGTCATCCATATCTCCAGCTTCACTTTGAGTGAACGCCGTACAAGGTAGAATATTTTTAAGGGGGGCGTTCATAAACGCACGCACTGGGGTAAGTATTAACGGAATGAACCGACATGAACAAGATTAAGTCAATGAGAGGTCCTAAATGTTGCTTTTGATACTTTTTGGGTTAATTACCCAGCCCTAAACAAGACCTTAACGACCAGCCTAACTTTAAGTCAGCATCAATTCAGTCTCAGTTTTGACTTGTATGTATTTATAGAATAAACTAATTTAATCTCAGTTTTCCCATATTTATACTTATGAACAAGAATTCAACCGTCTTGTTTTAAATAGCAAAGTTGTAATATTGATTTATTTGTTTATTTGCCTTTTGAGACAAATATTTCAAAACTCATTTTATACAAGCGACTCATTTTAAAACAATACATGATATAAAAATCAAGAAATCCTCACATTTCATAACCTCGACCAGACAAAGGTTTTTCAATTACTAATCTGTTGATTAACTTGTTGCTAACATTTCAGCCAAACATCACATTAAATCTGACAAACCAACAACTGCCTGGTAAGTGCTTGATGGCCAATTAGACTGTGGAGTATGTTTTGGGTAGATGATCAGGCTAAACAAGGGAAAATGAATGGCATAAATGGCAGGATTCATTGAAAAAGAAACACAGTAATTGCATGTTTCATGTATTTTTTCAACGAGTGCCAGCAAAAAGACACACACGCACGCACGCATGCACGCACGCACGCACACACACCGTCTGAGTCATACATCACTGCAAAACAGGACAGCAAATAAGGATTGGTTCAGAGGAATTTTAATTAACAACATCTAACACAACAAGCTACTTTGCAATCAGCCTGAATTCTGACAGTATTTACTCTGAATCTAAAACTGCTTCACCCTAAAAAAAAAAAATTTTTAAAAAAACTCTGTGCTGAAGCATCAACAACAACATAACCAACCCTTGCCCTCTCTTATCTGCAAAGACACTTAAATCTCTGTCAGCACAATAGCTCAGCAGAGACAAGCTATAAAACACTAAAGCCCACTGAGGGAGTTTTAAGGAAATGGTAGGACCTGAAAACAGCAGATTGACTGATCAACTCGTCAAATCTAACAGTCACAATGTTAAAGTTCCCTCTACAGACACTTCAGTAGAAACACATGATTATTCAACAAGCAGAGAAACTACAGATCATTCTGTGATGGGACCACACCAGCCACAACGCCTGGCAACATGTTGACGTTCAGGAGTCATTACTACATTATTACATGAGTACTCAGTACTCATGGGTTGGACCACGGCCATCTTCAAACTTAGCCTTCATTTCGATCTCAACTACACACCTGTAAAGATTCACAACTGTATCTTGCACGGTTGTGACGCTATTGCAGTGACAAAATTTGTTGACAGACATACAAACAGTTACAAAAGTATTGAAAAGCACCTCTGTGGCAGTTCCTGCTACAGCAGGTGATTCCAGGACCACATTTAACCATGATGACACACACACGGTCACAAGGTGAAAACAACACCAACCGCTCACTGACACAGCTGGTAATCAATTATCCACCAAGGACTCTTACAAACAAACCCACACACAGAAGAAAACATGAATGCCAACCGGGTATGTCAAGGTATGACTAAGTCCAAATGTATACTGCAAAATATTAAACTCAGAGGACTGTTCTGAACACTTGTCCCTCTGTGCTGTGGGACATTTTATTAGTTTTGACACAGCACATTATAGTATACAATGAGGCATTTGCATACATGAGTCATAATGAGAAGAAAAGACGCACCCCATGAGTTTGCAATGGTATACAATAAGTGTATAGGCCCAGGAGATAATTATGTAAAATAAATAATCATACAAAAATAATGATCAACTTTACTTAGCTGGAGAGAAATCATGGCTTTAAGCAGCACTATTCCTGAATCTGTTTCAACTGTGTCTTTGAAAGTTATACCATCCAAAATCAAAGAGGAAATTACAAAAAGGGGAATAGGGAAGAAAGATGAGTCCAACAACGATCAAAGATAAAAAATAAATGTATAAAAAAATAAATAGCAACAAGACATAAGGAGCAAATAAGGAAAACAGAAGGGAAGAAAAAGATAAACACATAATCCCATTCCAATTTAAGTCAATTTAAGCATCACTTCACAACAGTTTGTATTTTCTGAACCCTCTGGTGAATTACTTTGATATTGGATATGTTGCATTTTTGACACTGATAATTCAAACTGCAAACAAATTACACTAAAAATTGCACTGCATATAAACACTGCAAGCTGCTACTGAAATCTTCAGAGCAAAATTACAAGTTCTCCAACCCTTTCAACCCTCTGGTAAGACCCATAGGAGCGTTTCCTGAAACACCGCCCCTACATGGTTACAATAATAAACACGCAGTCTGTACCAACAGCGGCGTACCGGACCTTCATCGCCATGGTTACAATAATAAACGGTCAATGCTTGGTTAGGTTTAGGAAAAGATCAGAGTTTGGGTTAAAATAAGTACTTCCTTAACATTTGACAACCTTTGTTGTCATGGTAACAATAATAAGAAGGTGGTTAACTTGTATAAAAGACTCGATATAAACTGTTAACTTTGACATGGAAATCAAACACCACTCTCCTGGGTGATATTCCTGTGTTTGTCGCTCTTTATACTACGTCACCGCACTTTTCCCTTTGCTCCTGTAAAAATTACTACAGCCACTAGATGTCGCCTAGCAACAAAATGTAACTACGGGTCATAATAACCTGCTGCACAGAGGACCTATGGGCTTGTTTTTTACAGGAGGGCTGTGGTGGAAGGTTCTGCTTTGACTTACATAACTGTGTATTCTGTTAGACAGTAACCAGTAAATCATTCAGGCCTATTCACTGCATACATATACTATCCAGTATATCAGTATCAGCATCTACGTCAACCAATAAGTAACAACAAATTGCTTTGAAGAAACAGTTGCAGTATTTATGAGGTAAACTGGAGACAGATGCACAGTTACAAACCAGAATTTTAATTTTAATTAGCATAAAAAGGGAGGACAAGGCCTGTAGTACCTTTTGTGTGTAAACATTTTGGAGCCACAGCCGGAAGTCTGAACCAATTCTGTGACAACAGCTGCTGCAGGAATATGTGGATCCTGAAATGCTTTGCACAGGTAGAATCAGGAGAAATAGAGCTTTCAAACAATTTGTCAAGGTTGTGTTGAGTGAGTCCAGTACAGACCAAAACACACTTAAAGTAGCTCTACCAAGGCCAAAGTGTCCTAGGGGGGGCGGGTGTATTTTAAAGGGTTAAGCGACAATGAAAATAATTGTCAGTTGCACCCCTGATGCAAAATTTTAAAAAGATCACCTAATATTTTGGTACCTGTTATTCTTAAATGTTGGTGTGCAGCATTGGTCAGGATTCAGTAATACACAGACAAATATGTGTAAACAAGCTACGGCTGTATGCAAAACAAGTATTCAAAGTGGTTCTGGGAATTGAGCAAAACAAGAGAATAATTTAAAAATGAAGTTGAGCCAAAGAAGGTAGCACATACAATCATCTACATCATATTAACCCCTGTGTATAAGATCACAAATGGCAAAGAGGAAATACTGTAAGAGCAACCAATAACCGACCTAAATGTGACAAGGCAGCACATGAGAAACATACAGCTGACACCTGCATCTCAAACACAGCGGAGGGGTCATTATAGGGTCAGTAGGTTAGTACCAGTCACACCCGTTTAAATCCACACTGTCCCTGCGGTAATTAGCCCTGCGAGTAGCGGGGAATTAGAGGCAGGAGCCATATTAAGCTGCACGGTAACTTCAGGTAATGCGCAGGTGACCGTAGCAATAACAGGCAGCAGCAGTTGACATGAGGTACTTACTTTATGAAGTAACTGGCCCCTTCGTCCGTAAAACCTTCCTCCCATCCCCCAGGTAGGTCTGAAATAAAAACACAGATTTGTTCGTGACACCTGAAAGTTTTCTCCCGTTGGGCCGGGCCCTGAATGTACACTGAAGTTAGCAGCGAACACAAACATGAAAGTAAACAGAAAATTAACGCAGGTCAACCAGCCCCGCATAACCAGTCTAGCTAGCTACCTGAGCGGATCATGTGTCCCGAGTTTACCGGTTCACCGGAGCGGGGATGCAGCCAGGTGGTGGTCCGCGTCTCATCGCTGCAGACACAGACAGAGAGAAAGGGAGGGGGGGGGGGGAGAAAAACACCTGTTACACCACCGGGAAGGAAACACCAGCAGACCCCGCCAACTCCCGTCAAACCGAAAGAGACGGAGCGATAAAGCGCTCGTTATCCCACTCACTTGATGAAGAAGACCCTGCCGTCCCCGCAGACACCGTAAGACCAGTGTTCAGGTAAGGTGTCCCGCCCGAGAGGCGCCGCCATGATCCGGTCTGAAGTCCTATTTCATCTCATTCCCTCTCCATGGAGTCTCCGGGGAGCTCAACGATCACCGCCAGTGCCAGCGCTGCCTTCAGGGACTTCTCTAAAGCCCGTAAATCTGACCATCGAGGCTGAAGAAGGTCTCTGCCATGTCTGGAAAACAATTATTACACAATGCACTGGTTTTGAATCACTCTGTGTTACATTAGCTGCCAACAAAGCTTTATTAATTTTTTTTGTTTGTTTGGCTTGCTCTGTTATGTGGATATTTATGTTTCTGAATATTTTGAGGTTTATAATGACTTAAAATAAAACTAAATTTGACTGTAAATATATGTAAATAAAGAGTAATAATTTAAAAGCCACAGAAATAGTAGTTCATTATTATGTGCTATTCAATTTTCATTTACAAAATGTATCCAGTTATGTGCAATAATAAGAGTGCCCAAAAGACTTTTTTATTAAGAATGCATCTGATATCTGATCAATTAATGAAGGTGTGTGGTGGGGGTGCTTCAGTTGTGTATGAAAACAGATATACTCTCAATAGGCCTGATGATGCAAATTAAATCAGGTTTACCATCCCTGCACATGGAGGAGTAATTTGCTGTTGTGCCCATGTTTGTCAGTAAACATTTTAGAAATCTGTGAGTGATAATGAGAGGGTTGGTGGTTTGATTTGCCTTCCCTCCTGTGTCCACGTTTCAAACATGCTGAACCCCACATTGCCCCTGATATGTGTATGCACCAGTGTGCACAGGTAAGATGTAAGTTGCTTCGCACAAATGCATTTTTCAAATTAATGTATTGTTAAATCTGACTCAACACATCATTTAATTTTCTGAGGCCAAGTGGACATATAATGACTCAACTGGCATAATGAGCTCACTAAAAGCTATCATCACTCAATGGATGCTGAAATTAGTGATTTAGATTAGTTTGTATTTCTAAATTGGGGTTTTAATCGGGTGTTTCTTATATGGTGTCTTAGCTTTTTGGTTAAAAATATATTATTCAGTTTAAGTTTGTTTTCGCTCACTCAATAAAGATAATGCATATCGTTATCCAGTCACTATGTGCCCAGTCTGAATACATGAAACCATAGGCTATAGAATAGTATAAAAAATCTTGAAAAGTCTCGTGTATATACATGAAATACAGAAAAATCCTCCTCTGCAACTGAGACATCAGTGGAGACAACTTTCTGAGATTCAAATAGTTACGAGATTTTCGACAGCACTTGAAGGCATCACAACAGTGGGATTCCATAGTGAGAAAAGAGAAGAGAGGAGCAGCTGCCTTGACCGGTGTTTTTCCCGGCAGTGATTAGGAAGAGTGAGTGAAAAATGTGCTGAATTTGGACTCGCGTGCCACCTTAGCATTTAGGTGATTTAAGTGGGAGGTGACTGATTATGAGATTAAAGATTTCCTTCAACCAATTAGGAACCTCATTAAGAAAAGCTTTGATTTTAAGTGCTCTGCAACACAAGTTGATTCTCAGCCAAGTCAGCCTCTTGTTAGAGACTTGATGTGCAGAGGTAGGATTAAAGCAGTGGATTCGTTTTGTTGCAATGAAAATAAAACCAAATAAAGTCAAGCCCAGACAGTAGTAAATGTATGGGAATTTGAAGACTGAACTGAACCTGTTAAAGCATTCATTTTCTTTTTCTTTTTTCCTCGTTGAGATTGTCTTTGTCATTCTGTCATAATTTGTGTCATTTTTTTCCCAACTGCATGATTTGGAAAAAATGTGACATTATGAGAAACTTTTGTGACATGAATGCACAAAATGAGAACCAGAATGGTCTTTTAGAAACCAATTCCTTTATTATATCTATTGATCCGACTAACTCTGTGCAGTTTAAACACACAGTAGCCTACTTGCAAGTGATGACTTGAGCAGGTGCTGCAGTTTACAGCTGATTGGATTTGGGAGGCCCATACTGGGATCAGTATTGTATAAGCAGATATTCTTTTTTAACACAGTTAACTTAAACATGGTTGGCAACGATCCCTTTAATTTGGATATCAAAGAGAAGTGTAATGAGGGAGGATATTTAAGAGTCCAACAATAGACATCACTATGAAAAATTATGGTAATGTGGCATTTTGTTGATTTAAGGGTTGGATTGTCACCCTTTCTTGCTTCACTACTATGATAAATAATAAATGAAAATAGATAAATAAAAATGCCTCTATAATTCTTAAAAGTATAAAAGATGACCCTTTCAGGACGACCCCACAAGCTAAAACACATCAGTCTAACAAGAAATTCTTGTGTTTACTTCAAGTGTTGCTGGAGTTTTGACCTCTTTAGACTTTTTGCTTTCCCCGTGCACCTTGGAGGTGAGTGAAGTTTTGACAGAAACCTCTTCTTTGTTTCTAAAATTAAAATTTTCATATTTTGAAAAGTAAACTTCACTTGAAATTCTGATGGTCTGCTATCTAATAATTTAAAAGAAATGTGACTCTTTCATTTTGTAAAATAAAGAACAAAAGTACATAAAACTGCAAACAATGAAGCACCGGTGACACTTGGTGACTGTAATTAGCTAATGATTTAAGTTACCTGGCAAGAACTATAACTTGGTATGAAATGTAGGGGAAATGTAGAGAAAGTTATTTTTGTATTGAAATCTCTACTCACCATATGATTTATTTCATATTTCCCTATTTGCAATTACTAAAAGACTATCTGGTTTACAAGCAATTCATTGCAATGAAGTAAATGGAAAATTTACCAACTAAACCAGCCAGTATTTCCCTTTAATTTCTATCAGTTTACAAAGTTCTCAGCAGGGGATTTTATAGTAAATGAATAGAAAATTACAGACCTGTAACATGAAGCAGCATTCAAACATTCAGGCACTAGAATATCATAAGGCAATACTTTTAAGTCAGTGGGAGGCCAATATCCAACAGCAACGTCAGCCTGCTGGTATGTCAGTCAGACTAATGTTTACACGCAGCAAACATGTTATTGTTGGTTTTCCCCAGTGGCTCATTAATGTAAATAAGAGCCTCTGTCAGCTGTCAGACACAGTTTGCTCTCAGTCGCTCTGAGCTCACTGGAATTTCATTTTTCCAGAGTGACTCCATAACCCGGAGACGTGTGGTGGCGTGCTCATCACAACATCCTGACACGTTTTCCATGGAGCCCTATTATTTTGAAATCCACTCTTGGAACAAAAACAGTTCACCTGAGTTGTTGTTAAGTTCACGGTCGGCAGGAATTTCCTCGCCAAAAACAGTAATTTCCAAAAGGGTGGAACGCAGTGTGAAGACCAGAAAGACTGTTGATATTCATCACAAGGCTCTTCATTTAACACTCCCTGGAGCATGGGATTCTAATGGAAAACACACAAAGCATTTCTGCAGCACAGCTTTCTCCTTTTTTTGATTGTGATTTCCTTGTTATGTAATCATTTGTAGTTTCTCAATTTCAGCTTGACTCCTGTTTTCAGCAGGCAGATCGGCCAGACTTCCCGACAGCCCATCGTCAGGCTTAATTTGACCAATTATCCAAAACAGCCTGATCTTACCAGCAGTGAACATATTTTTCACATCTGGTGACTTTTGTGTGCCTGTGTTTGATTTCCTCTCCCCCCTTTGTTTGGTTTCAGTTGGCAGCGCGCAGTTTGGAGGCACCTCAACAACAACAAAAGAAACTCCTGACAAGGCAGAGTGAGCTGAAGGGCAGGTAGAGGTCGACACACACACAGCCCGACCGCTGAGAGCCCATGGAATTTTTTTTTTCTTCTTCTTCTTCTTCTTCTTCTACCATTCCAGTGTATTTGTGTGAAAAGATAAAGTGCTCACATACTAGAAAGAACAATGAGAGACGTATCCAGCCAAGTTATGATATCATGGGCCAACACATTAGTATATCAAACCTACTAGTGCTGCAGTGTGTGTGTGTGTGTGTGTGTGTGTGTGTGTGTGTGTGTGTGTGTTCAGGTGCTTGCTGCTCTAAAGTTGAACTCGTTCTGCAGATTCGCAAACCAAAACACTTACACACACGGACACACGGACACACGGACACACGGACACACACACACACACACACACACACACACACACACACACAACTATGTATACATAAATTCCAGACTTAAAGGCACAGTTTCTTATCCAAATGTAAACAGAACATTCATCCCACAACTAAAACTTTCAAATGCAGGACTGAAATGTGCTATAACTCCAAACTGTACTAATACTACACAAGAGTTTCTCATTTATTTTCAAATTTCTTTACATCAATAATGTTTGTAAGCAGTTCCATATTTTCAATTAGTATTTAATTTCTTCACTGATAAATTGACAACACTACAAAACACAACATTTGCATAATCAGATAATGACCAGTTGGGCTTAAAGCTGCATGAAGTGATTTTTTGACCACTTGAAATGCTCCACAGACCTGAGAACTGCAGAGTCAGGTCATAATCATCTGTTGGTTTGTCACTATAAACAACACCCGTTACACATCGTCATTTGATCCATTGTTAATTTAAATATAAATCATATTATTGATAGTAAGCTCATTAAAGGAGTGTTGCATGTGCTGTTGTTCTTTTTTCATATGGTCTACAAAACATGGCTTCCTCACTGCAGTTCCAAGTTAAGACAAAGAAATGTGACAATTGTTAAATAATAGTTTTAAATAATATGAGGTTGTATGCAGGGACATGCTTATGCACACTGATGTACAGTATCAATTTATATTATTATTATATATAGGTCCAACCAGAGAGAAATCCTGACCTCTGCACAGTCTTACTCTCTCTCTCTCTCTCTTTCTCTCTCTCTCTCTCACTCTCTCTTCAACATTAGTGCACATAATGCCTAATGCACAAAGACACATGCAACATAAAAACACAGTATTGTGGTGATTGCCACTCTCCCTTACCCTATGACTTCACGCCCCGGATCAGGGCTATCTCAATTATTTTGAATTTCATTTCATGCATTTCACCATTTTCCATCATGTGAACATGTTTTTTACTCCAGACATTTCATCTGTTTGTCTTGTCTTCCTGTGCTCAATCACTGAATTTTCTGTCTTTTTTCCAATGCCAGGAACAGCATTT